GCTGGAGGGTGCAGCCTGGGGACAGGGAGCAGGATCAGCAGAACACAGACTGCATTCCTAGTTGTGTTCTCCTGACTCCACCCCTGGGGCCTGCCATGGTGCTGGGACATCTAGCTGCTTCGGAGAGCCCAGACCAGCAACTTAAAAAAAAAAATATTTTAAACAATTTCCTTGGATGCCTCCTGGCACACCAGGGAAAAGGTCTCTGTGTGCCACTAACTGGCATGTGTGACGAGAGTTGCCTATCTCTGTGCTAGACAGCACAGCCTCAGATAAGGCAGGAAGCAGAGCAGCAGATAAGGCAGGGAAAGGGGATCATAGTGGCACTTGAAGTTGTAGGCCTAATTTGTGGCGTGTCTGCCCTAAAGGCTGGCCCCCACTAGTTTACACCATTCTTAACACAGCCCATACTTAATACAGTCCAGTCTGTGGATGATTTTTTGTTCCACAGTTTCCTATTTAGGTTGGTTTCTAAAGTTTTGGACAGCCAGTCTGAGGTCAGTGAGGGAACATCCATGGTGGATACAGCTTTCTGCCACAGGTCTTTCTGGAATTTGTCAGATCATTTGTTCTTACACACAGAGATCACCCTGTCTGTCTAGTGCAGACAGCAGAGGGGCACTGTAAGCAGGTGATGGTGTATATGACATTGATAGAGGAGCAAGTGAATGAACCCTGGAAGTTATAATCTGTATGATACAGTCCATTGACAATCTGATCCATATGGATGAAGGGCCATACCTAGGCTGTACTATATCAGGTCCTGAAACTGTTTTTATAATTTTTTTTTAGTATCATAACATCTTAACTAATTTTTAAATTATTTAGAGCTTCAATACATTAAAGTTATTGCAAGTTTTAAAATATATACATGACCAATTGAAAAAAAAAGAGCCAAGTCAATCTCCTAAATTCATATTTAGGTATCTAAGGGATTAAGGTGCACAATTCTTTATTTCACAAGTTGATGGAGGTGTATAGAGTATCTTAGGTACTTTGGTCTTTGAACTTGTTGAAATTCAGTAGATCAGAACTACTGGTATGGAGTACAAATATATTGTGGGCTGTTTGCAAATCATTTTGTGCTGAGTTTATGGTATTTTCACAGTAAAGCCTGACCTTGCCTTTTGCAGAAGTGATGAACATATTAAGGATGCAATTTTATAGAAGAAAAAACCTTTCCATAAAAAATCTAAAACTGTAATAGAGATTTAAGCCACGCAAATAAAAAAAAAAAAAAAAATATATATATATATATAAAAACACCTACTTCAGGGATTTCAGATTATAAAATGATAAGAACTAGCATTACATAAACTGATTTACATGTACAAGAACATGAACCTTTTGATTTGAAAATAAAACATGTTTTTAATCAAACCTACTTTAAAGACTTTATATTAAAATGCATAATATTGCATCCTATGGTATAAAAATCTCTATATACATCCAAGACAAAGTGTCTCTAAAAGGCATATATGTACAGCTCTGGGTGATTTTACTAAGGGATCTGTATTTCAGACCAGACCTGGACCCATTTTACCAATCAATCTTAAAGGTTGCCTGAAGTGGCATCACTGTTTGGGGGATAAATCTAAAATTAGTGTAAGTAAAAACATCAGTGTCCATGTAAGCACTAACGATATTGCCAGGAACCTCACTGAATAGATCAGAGGCAACTATAAGGCTCCTGAAAGGATGGTTAAGGAGCTAGGAGCACAGGTGGTGTTTTCATTATTTCTCAATGTGGAAGGCAAGGGACTAGGCAAAGACCATCGTATCTTGCAAGTAAACACATGGCTGAGACAGTGACGCACTGTGAAGGCTTTGGATTCTTCGACAATGGGAAGATGTTCTGGGGAAAAATAACTACTATCAAGAGATGGGATCCATCTGATCAGAACTGGAAAGAGCATCTTTGGGCCAACCTATAATGGAGGGCTTTAAACTAAGTTCAATGGGGGACGGGAAACAAAACCCTCTGGCAACAGAGAAAACAATCTAAAGGGGAAAGGACCAGAAGAAGTAGCTAAGCAATGGCCAGAGAGTCACAGGACAGCAACAAGAGGTGCCAATGGAAAGCTCATAGTTTGAAATATAAAATACATCCAATGTATGTGTACAACTGTGAAAAGTATGGGGAATAAACAAAATAAACTATAAGCTGCAGCCTGTGGGGGGAAAAAAAACCCAAACCTTATGATCTAATTGGTATCACAGATATCCGGTGAGACAGCTGTTAAGACTAGAATTTCAGCACTGAAGAGTACTCTTCATTTTAGAAGAACAGGGTTGGGAGAAAAGGTGGTGGTGTTGCCTTGTACGTCAAAAAACACATACAGTTGTTCCTTCATTCAAGGAGAAGAAGATAGCAGATCAGAATGCATCTGGGTGAAAATAAAAGGTGAAAGATATAGCACTGATGTAATGGTGAGGACTTATAATAGGCCATCAAGTCAGGAAGAGGAAGTGGACGCAGACGCTCACTGTTCAAGCAGGTGAAACAATTGTCCAAAAGCTATAGGATGGTACCGATGGGAAATTTCACATTTCTGGACATCTGATGGAAACCCATCAGCAGCAAGCAGTGGGGCCACTGAGGCTCCTCTGCCAATCAGCCACAGGAGAGGGAAGGGGGAGCACATGGGAGAAACTGCAAAATTAAAGGAGCCACTGCATAGCGCACTTCCAGTGCGAATTCCAGTGGTCTTTATCTATACTGGATGTTGTCCTGACCAAAAGAGAAGAACTGGTGGGGGGTTAAGGCAATGGACAACTTGGGAGGAAGTGATCACAGCAAGATAGAATTCCAGATCCTGAGACAGGGAAAGCATGAGGTACCCTCATGTTAATACCCAGGACACTAATGGAACATATCCTAAGGAAAGTCCATTTTTAAGTACCTGGAAGATGAAAGTATAACTACAAGTACCCACCATGGATTTACTAATAACATATCATGTAAAACAAACTCGATCTCATTCTTTGATAAAGTAACTACTTAGATGGATGAAGGGAATGCTGTGGGTATATTGCATCTAGATATCAGCAAGGCATTTCACAAGGTCCCATATAGACTTCTCATAAACAAACTGGAGAAATGTGGGATGGACAAAACTACTATAAGATGAATAGGCAACTGGCTCAATAGCTGCAAGTAAATGGTAATTATAAATGGATCCATGTCAGGATGGTAGGAGGGTTCGAATGGAATTCCACAGAGATCCATCCTGGCTCCAGTTCAGCATTTTTACTGGCTGTTCAACATGTATATTAATAATTTGGATGCTGGAAGAGAGGTTCCTTGAGCACATCTGCATATGACACAACACTGGGAGAACAGGCTCACAATTCAAAAGGATCCTGACTGACTGGAAATTTGGGCTGGAGCTAACAGGGTGAAGTTCAATACTGACAAATTCAAGGTGGCACACCTGAGGAAGAATAATCAGAAACACAAATACAAAATGGGTGATACCTGAATGAATGGAAGCACTACAGAGAAGGATCTGGGAGTCTTGGTAGATCACAGACTCGACACAAGTCTGGAGTGTGAAGCAGCCACATGGAAGGCAAATGTGGTTTTGGGATGCATCAGTAGTAGGTGCAAGATACTACTGCTAAGGATGTGATAGTGCCTCTACTTGGTACTAGTTAGGCCTCATCTAGAGTATTGTATGCAGATTTGGGCTCCACATTTTAAAAAGGACATGGAAAAATTAGAGAGAGTCCAGAGACAGGTGACAAAAATGATAAAGGGCTTGGAAGACAAATCATATGAGGAGAAGTTGAAGAAGCTAGGCATGTTCAGCTTGCAGAAAAGGTGCATAAGGAGGGGACATGATAGCAGTCTTAAAGTACTTGAAAGGCTGCCATAAAAAAGAGGGAAAACATCCCTTCTCTCTTGCAGCAGAGAGTAGTATATAGACCAATGACCTGAAGTTGCAGCAAAATAGGTTTAGAATGGATATCAGGAAAAACTTCTTCACTGTTAGAAAAAGCTGGACGCTTCCCAACACTGCAGGTGTTCAAGAAGAGGTTGGACAGTCACTGGTCAGGAATAAATCTAAGCATTTTTCTATGGTCTTCTATGGGTATTTTCCATTATTTTGGGATTTGCTGTTTTGCTGTGAGGGAATTTCAATTCTCAATGGACCTTTGAAACCACTAGTTTAATCTACTAAAAAGTCTGGATAAAAAAATACTGTTGTAAATGTAGAACACCTTTTTCAGTAATAAAGAAGGTATCAAAACTTCTTTACAGACCTCATGTTTCATGCAGTGCAGAAAGAAGATGAAGGGATGATTTTAAATAGAAAATGTACTTATTTAAAACAGAAATGGATGCATTATTTTAAATAACTGTCCTTTCATCTTTCAAATATGATTCTTACAGGTTTCCACCCTTAAGTCGGAAATTTGAGAGAGAAGAAAAACACCTTATCTGTTTCTGAGATACTTCTCAAAGTGATAGGTTTTGAAATTATAAACCAAGAATTATGGGCTAATAGATTCAGCATGAAAGATGAAGGGATGGCATGAAGGAAATATATATCCTTTTTTACAAAAATGTATCATTAATGTTTAGACATTTAAGAATTATATCGGCCTCAAATATATAAAATGTAAACTGGCCTATGTTTAAATAATCATTTCTAAACTTTGAGCACAGACGATCTTGTCTTAAATTTATTTACATACTGGAAAGTATTAAAGTTTCCTGTTACTTTATTACAACATGCAATAAATTAATGTAATTTACGTAAAAAAACTGTATACACAGTGAAGGAGCAGGATGGTTCCCAATAATCCCAATAATCTCCTTTAATAATATACAGCTTTTTTGGTAGGGGGGAGAGGAGGAGAGGAAGCTTTTAATTTTTTTTTTTAATTTGGCATTAAATCTTAATCTCAAATCTTGCCATGGTGAAGAAAAAATAAAAATTTAACATGGAGCCTAGATCATTTATTGTTGGCTTTGCAGCTAAGTTGCTCCTTACCTTTTCTGGAGGAGGTGCTGGGTGAAATCTCTTTGCACATACTAAAAACACATCAGGCTGTGGCTTGCCATTCTTCACTTCTGGGTCATCTCCCAATACAATGTGATTAAATAAACTAAAGAAACCTTTGTGTTTGATTGTTTTCATCTCAAATGTCTCTCCAGCTGAGCTTGTAGCAACAGCAATGGGGATGTTGTGCTGGTGTAGATGGCGGATCAATTTTTCAACACCTGGAAGACAAAATAATGTACCTATTAATATATTTGCCTTATTTAGCTGTACTTTGAAGAGTGATGTAAAAGAGCCTAATTGTACATGGTAAGGATTTATTTAAACTCTGGTGGTAACTCTGAAAAGGCATTTTTGCTAATTCTGAAGTATTCCTGCTCCATGCAAAAATGGGTAAAAAGGCATCAAGCTGAATTTCTCCTACATCTGAGCTCCACTTGGTAACAGGAACTGGGATCAGGGCCATCCACAAGCTGGGGACAGTTCCTTGATTCTGTGCCACCACCCAGCAAGACTGAAAGCAACTGGTGGATATAACTTGCATAGTCTATTGAGTTAGGAGCTTATCCCTTTCTGCCTGCTATTTCACTACCCAAAAGTGCTTATTCTAAAATCCAAAACGATTAACAGCTTCAGATGGTTACCAGATGAAAGTTAAAAAGAAAATGAGCCTGTTAGCAGAAGCATCTTTCATCTCCCCTCCCTGTCTCTCCTCTTTTGTTTGCCTATGAAAACCATTACTTTTTCCAGAGTCCCAAGATACAAGCAGCTTCAAGACAAGGGGCAATCTACCTTTTCTGCATGTAAAATGAAATCTTTATCCCACCAGTCTAGAAGCATCCCATCTTCTCCAGGGAATACAAAGTGTTTGTTTGTAGCCACAGAAAGATCTATAGGATTGGACTTTACAAACATAATACTTTTAGGAAGAGCAAAACTATTATTAGATAACAGCTTGCTTTGAATGCTACAAAATTAAGCAAACAGTTATTAAGGGTATCTTTACACATGCTCTGGGGGGAGGGAGGGCATTTTAATTTGTGAAGCTTTTGGGAGCCCCTCTAATTAAAATGCCTACAGTGCCTTATGTATTTAGCATCCTGCACTTCAAAATGGTGGCAGGGGTACTTTAACTAAAGCTTATTCGATAAGCTTTAGTTAAAGCACCTCCATTGCAATTTTGAACCACAGGGACACTGAATACACCTGATGTCAAGGCTGCTGAAGCATTCTAATTAACTGAGTCTGCTCTGACGTTTTTTAATTTGTATGCATCAGAGCAGGTGTTGGGAATGTGTATAGGTGTCCTATGGCTTTATAGTGGAAGAATGAGGAAAAAAATTGTACACTACAGAAAATTTCATACCCATGCTCAGCACCATAGGGCACTTTCACATGTGCTCTGGGGGTGGGGAGGGCAGTGTTTTAATTAGAACGCCTCTTAGAGCCACTCTAATTAAAGCACTGCAGTATCTCATATATCAGCATCCCTGCACTTCAAAATGGTGGTGAGGGTGCTTCAACTTGAACAGCCCTGGGCTCCGGGTGATGGTGTCATGGGTCAGGTGGTAGACAGCATTGCCTCTAAACTGTGTGAAGTGCGCAGCCACACAGGCGTGCCTGGCAGCACAGCATGAGCGCTCCTGTGCAGCCACTCATGCCACATAGCTTAGAGAGATCGCTGCTGGTAGAGGGGCTGGCTGGGGCATGAGGGTGCTATAGGGCAGGGCTAGCTGGCAGATAGCCTCCACACTGTAGCACCCTCAGGCCCAGCCAGCCCCAGTCTGCATGTGCACTGCAGCGGCATAAATTACTCCACCATAGGATAATGCTTGTTCTGGCCAGTACTATCCTATGGCAGTGTTAATTAATTCACTACACCCTAATAATGGTGCATGTGTAGTGGCACTTTAAGGTGGTGCTAATTAGTCAGCTCTGCAGTAAAGCACACATGTTGATGTCCCCCCCCATATATATGTTTTGGTTTTTTGTTTTTTCAGAGTACATAGCAATATATATATCCTACATATATATGTACCATGAAAAAAATCACATCCCACTTGTTTTACATTAGGGCTCCAAAATAAATGTAATAAGGCTTTCCCTGTATAAGCCCTCCGCTTTGTACCTTAAAAATAAGACTAACACTAACTCAACCCAGAGGTGTGTTTGTAGCATTTATCTTTAGAATGCTTCATTTGACAACGTTATGCCTTTTTAATCTAATTTTCTGCAATACTTCCTGGGTTTTAAGAAAACATACGGGGTGGGGGGATCATTTTGTGGTACTGTACTGACATTTAACTCAGTTATTTGGGGCTTTAAACTTCTTCAACACGTAGAGATCAGAAACGTGCCAACTTTTACTTAAAGAAACCAAAATAATGTACTGTTCCCGATGCTCATTCTCAAAAATACTCAAACTGCTTTCAAACAAATAATTATAAATAAACAAACAACAGCCACCAAGTATGGAAAATGTCAGCCTAAAGGATTTAAGTTTTGCAAAGGTATAAGGAATTTAAATGTGCGTCTTACATGGAAATTATTAGTCAATGTTACTACAGGATATATGATTATGTGACACATAATTGATATGACCTTAGGATGGCTGCATGACTCATGGCTGGCAATGGCATGAGCATGCTCCACAAATATTCTTAAAATTGTATCAATAAAACTAGTGTGTATATGATATATGTACCAAACATTTCATTAAAAAAAGTTAAAACAGAAGTATTAGTACAGTTCTAAATTAGCTGTTGTCTAAAAATAGATTATAAAACATCATACAGGTTGCTGGCTGGTGAGGACGAGCTATGCCCAAGCCTCACCTGATCAGACATGCTCAGAGTGAGAAAAAATGTTCAGTAAATGTTCAAGGAAAAACAAAACAAAGCAAGATAACCCTCACCTAATGTAGCCTTACTATACCTAACCCTAACCCTGGGATTTGTAAAATCCAGGATCTTGGGACCTTTTACAAATAGAAAGGCATGCTGCGTATTCTACTTTTTAGTCAAGGCTTTCCCCTTTTTAGTCTGTATAAAGCATATCCTCTGTATTTTCTCTGAAACTCATTCCATCTGGTCTCCCATTCTGTTTCTCCACATACTGTTTCCTTTTCATTTTAGTCCTACCACTTCCCACTTAGTAATACTGCTTCAATTCAATGATCCAAAAGGCAGAGTGGGGAAAGCAACTCAAAAGTGGAAAGAAAAGAAAAATCAGGGATCAGAATATTATAATGCAAGGGACTACTAAGTGGGCATATGGAAAAATTAAACATAGGAAAAATGGTGGTGGGGGGCGGGGTGGGGTGGGGGGAATAGAAATGTGTGTGTGAGCCCTGGTATCCATATAATAGATTACATTTGTTATATAACCTCTTCTACCTTTTCTTCACCAGGCATAAAAATCTGAACCTGGGTACATCTACATGTCCAATTCACATGGCTGAATAAACTCTGATGCAGTCTGAGCTACAGTTTATTGCTCTCAGGCACAGCGCTTATATGTGCAACTGCGATCGCAACATGTTGAGCCAAGGTGGTGCAGCCCCAGCTGTCAGAGGGTCCAGGGGGTCAGCCTGCTAGCCCAGAGCTGCCCCACCCCTGAATGTGCCGAGGAGGAGCTGGCTGGGGCACAATTCAGGTTTAGCTAGCAGGCAGCCCCGCACTGTAGCAGCCTCATGCTCCAGCCAGCGCCGGTCACATGTGCATTGCAGTACATTAAATGCCATAGGATAGTACTTATGTTAGGCAGCACCATCCTACAGTGGAGTTAATTAGTTTGCTGTGGCCTAATAGTGCCACACATGAAGATGGTGACACATTACTATAAAACTAAGTAGTCAACTCCACAGTAAAGTGCATGTGTAGACATGCCCCCAAGATGCTTTATATATTAAAAAAAAAAAAAAAAAAAAAAAAAAGATCCTGTCCCTGATCAGTTTTCTCATTCCTCATAAAATGAGCAATACATGTATCTAGATTTAAGACCACCTGAACTAAAGAGCTTTAGACTGAATAAAATATCAGTGGATGTATGTTTCCAGTTTCAGTCTATAAGCAATAATATGCAAAACTAATCTTTCAGACAATGCTTCTTAAATTTATAAAACAAAAGAAAGAAAATGTGGCAGACATTGTTCTGTTAGCACTTTTACTATCGTCTCCAGTCAATCTGACATTGGCTGATGCTAGATAATGGTTCTTTCCAGAGTGGCAGGCATAATAACTGAGGCTTGATTGGGAAACTACAGCTGAAGAATTTTGTCTCCAACTTGTGTGTGCGTAATCAAGCAGGTAAGTAATATTTATTGTTTGTGCTTTTTATTATTTTCCCTTCACACAACTGCCCACATCAATTTATGGTACAATGCAAAGAGCAGCAGTACAATAAAAACAGCAGTCTCATTTGCAGTACTTTTATTTTTCCCACATAGCCACATGCACAGCAATTTTGAATTGGAATAATTCTTACTTTTAGTAAAGTGGATAGATTAGCAAACAGTCTATCAACTAATCCATCCATCTGGAAACATGATTAATTTGCAGATGTGTTTTTCTACAGATTTCTTCTGTATTTTCCCAGACTCTAACCAGTCAATTAATAACTAAAGTTTCTGAAGAAAACCTTTACTATACAAATGAATGCATTCTGTCTTTGTACATTTCCAGACCAACAGAAATAAGAAAACTACTAGAAGCATAAACTATCTCCTTTAAATGTCAACAGAGCATGGAGATAAAAATCAAGCTTTGCAGTCTAAATATGCTAACAACCAGTAGGATCTTCCTCCAAAAATATTTATATCTTATCTTATTGAAACAATTATAAACACAGATTAGTTTTTGATTCAGCAAACATATGTGAAGTCACAGACACTAACAGACTAATGTAAAAACACTTCATATTTCTAATAGACATTTACATTGCTTTTTATGTTATAGGCAGATGTTTTGCTTTATAGGAGACCTAATCTGTGCTACCTGTGGCATATAGCACAGGGAAAAACAAAAAAAATCGGCAGAAATGTAAAGAAATACGTTCAAGTATTTTGTAGTTTTAGGACTGCCTCTAACCTCCCTGTCCTCTGTATCATGTGGCTAGTTCTCCTTGATTTGCACTCTCTTCAAATAGCATATTTTCTTCAGTCCCATGACATCACAGTTTTAGTTCAATAGTCTCAGGGTATGTCTGCTCTAAATTTAAGATC